CTTCTTCTACCAGCTGAGGGATCCCTCCTCCCTCTTATTCATTGTCTGTAAGATGGAGATGATGGAAATATGCGTACTTACTTTTTTGGGTTGTTATGACAAGTAAGATTTACTATCTATAAAGTACTTAGCATACTGAAACACGATACAATTGTTAGATGGAATTATTCTATTACAACAAATATCTGAATTAAAGATGAGAAGTATAAGGAGAGATTTGTTAAAGTATACAAAATTACAGTTTGATAGAGTAAGTTCAGTGTTCTATACCACTATAGGATGACTCTAGTTAACAGTAACATATTATATGGTTTCAAATAGCAAGAAGAAGGATATTGAAGTTTCCCAAGACAAACTATAAAAGTTTGAGATGATGGATATGCCAATTACCCTGATTTGATCACTATACATTACATGTATCAAAACATCAATGTGTTTGGTGAATATGTACAGATATTATTTGTCAATTAAAAAATAAAATTAAAGGAAGATGTGAAATATAGCCAGGCATACCAATTTTTGTTCTTTAAGGCATTTAACGTCAAGTTGTTCTTGACTTCTAATTCTGACTGAGGTTTCCTGGTGAAGACCTTAGATTCAGCTGAGGAGGGTACAGAGCAACAAATGGTAGATGAATTCAAATGCTGGATGAGAGGAAGTCAAACTGGAAAGCCTACTATCGCCAAATGGTCAAGGACACAGGCATTGGGTAAGTTCTGGGTCTTCATTCCAGCTCTGCCAGTGACCAGCTGTACGTACTACATCTCCCAGGAGGGAAAGCTGCATTGTGGTTGTGTTGTGATAGTGCATGAATAGCATTGAGCTCAGCACATGGCAGAAGGGCGTGCTGTGTGGATGTTAGTTTCTGTTCAGTTTGCCAACTACACATGATTCTGTTTTGTTTCAACTATCCGGCTTTGCTTTACTGACTTGGAAGAAACAGCAGATTTCTATTCCCTTTTGCAAATCTTTTAGCACTTAAACATTGTCATTCACATAGTTGTTACATCGATGACAAAGCAAGCCTGAGCCCTGCTTGAGCAAGGTCTGTTCCTGGGGAAATCGCCTGTCTGTTTCCACTCTGCCTCATCTGCCATATTTTAGTTGTTAATTGGAGATGGAAATGTTTCCAAGTTTTCTTCTTCCCTAGGTATTGATCTTTTGGGTGAACATAAACCTTAACCCCTTAAGCTTTATCACCATGCTTTCTCTACCTTATCAATTCTAATGGATTTAGCATGCTTTATCGGTATTTAGATCTTGATTTTCTTTCTACTTCATTCTCCTTTAAAGCAATCTGTCTAGTTGAAAACCTCTTGTTAGAAGAGATTATATGATTGTTTTTTGGTTTTATAATCTGTTTGAAGAAGTGGCTGCACACTTGAGGATTTAAAATGATGTCTCAACAGGAAATAGCTTCTCTGTTGAAAACCTGATTTCTCACAGGGCTGCTTATTTTTTCTTTGTATAAAAAAATTTTCGGATTCGATCACGTTGCTGCCAGGACACTTCATTTTATTTAAATGCAACAACACAAACATCACTAATCTGGTTTCCCCAAATTCATTTGCGTACTCCCTGTCAACAATGGTTTTATCAGCCATCAAAATCTAATTGAAATGGCAGTGCAGCATGTAGTCATCCAATAATTATAAAAAAGCACACTGAAAATTCAGATGCATTTGAACAAAAGCCATCAAAGGAACATAAACAGGAGAAAAGGTAATTAAAGAGCTTTTTCTCCTCAGCTTTCCACATTGCAGGTTTATTTAAATGCAGCTCTAGCAGGAGACCAGAGGTGGATTGATGGGCCAAATTTGTTTGCTGATGCTATTCTGAAATGTGTTCCATAAAAATTGTGGTCAAGAAATTTAAGAAGCACGACAGTCATGGCACCCAGAAGCCTGCTTTGCTTCCCTCTCTGAGAACTTCTGTGGTAACGTGCACGTGTGACAGTTAATAGGTGACAAAGAGCCTTGCCCTTTATCACCTGGGCACCAGATCTTTAGAGGCTTGGGCAAACCGAACAGCCCTGTTCTTGACTATAAAATTCTGATGTTGTAAGTGTGCTCAGCATAGCCTGCAAATCTCCACTTGGGGTTTTCACGTTGTGGAGAAAAGGAAGCTGCCCAACTATCAGAGGCTGTAATGTGTGAATGCAAGCAGTTTAGCAATAAGAGATTCAAACTTTTGAAAGAGAGGTAACAAAGCCTTAAGAATAAGCCCTGGTCATGAATGTATATATAGTCCTGGGGCTGGTTGGCATAGCAACTATTTCTGAGAACCCTGGTGCTGCTTAAGTAAACAGCTAAAGCACAGAGCAAGCCTCAGCTAAACTGGGTCCATCTGTAGTATCAGCATGTGAGGATCAGAACAGGAACATTTTCTCCAGCGAATCAATGATATTTTGGTATCTCTTCCTAATAACTATTGTTCTCAGCACTTCATGGCAAGCCTCCCATCCTTTCTGGTTTTCCATATGGCAGTTTTGCTGAACAATCCCAACGTAGGTAAATCTAACTAAGTTGGTTTTGGAGCAACTGAGAAGGGTCTAAGCTCAGTGACTTTCATTTGTTATTTGCCAATAATTTCCCAGGAAGGAAAATTGATGATTCAATAGCAACTCATTGGGATGATTCAATGAATATGATACCTGTTGGGGTTTTCATTTCAAAGTTCAGCACACTGGGTAATGACAAACGTTTTGGAATCTGACCAACTTGGCCATGGTGTCTGTTTCCGCCATGAAAAGTGTTGTGACATCAGTTGTATTACTGATCCATCCGGGCATGTAACTGACCCTTTCTGCAATTTTTCTTTCATATGTAGAATAAGCATAGTGATAGCTACCTCATGGGTATTTGACAATTGACTAACATAATGTATTTAAAATGCTACGCACGTACACTACTCAAGAAATGGCAATGCTAACATACCCTGTTGAGTTCCTATACCATGGCTATTTTAGAAGTGGATGCATTCAATGTCCAGCATTTTCCATATGATTCAGCAGTAAATTCTAACTTGTCTAAATCCAGTATGGTGGTCTAAGTTCCCTCACCCATGACTGACCTAGGTGGACATGTAGCCTAGTTTCGGCTGCTGAGATAAGAGGGGAGGTCTTCGCACACAGAATAGTGCTAAGAGATCAGATGCACTTGGAGTAGGATAGTAAGAGGCTCCTGGGAGTTTTAAGGCAACAGAGTGTCCAAGAAAATACAGTGTGAGAGTTTTCCTGCACTTGCAAATGGACCCTCTAAATACCCGAGATTTGTGGGTAATGATCAGAAATTTCTGTCTGGGCTGTGCTTCATTATATGTGATACTCTCCTGAAAGTGGACTATGCAGGCTATAGCATTTCAAATGTACAAAACATTTAAAAATACACAATATAGGAGGTTAGTCATGGTGGCTCATGTCTGTAATCCCAGTACTTTGGGAGGCCGAGGTGGGTGGATCACTTGAGGTCAGGAGTTTGAGACCAGCCTGAGCAACAGGGCGAAACCCTGCCTCCACTAAAAATACAAAAATTAGCTGGGTGTGGTGGTGGGTGCCTGTACTCCCAGCTACTGGGGAGGCTGAGGCAGGAGAATTGCTTGAACTTGGGAGGGAGAGGTTGCAATGAGCTGAGATGGCACCACATTCTAGCCTGGGAGACAGAGCAAGACACTCACTCTCTCTCCTCCCCCCGCCCCCTGCACACACACACTAATGCTCTGAAAAATGTGTAGTTGAATAATTCACCTGTGTCTTGTTTCCAAAGGGAAAGGTTGTAAGAGAAGAGTTCTGTGTCTTGGAAACTTTTGAGATCTTTCTGAAAAGCTCTTTTTGGACCCATATGAGAACCTAGTAAGGGCTATAACTGATAGGTCCCTTCCTTCCTTGGGGGTTCTTCTCTATACCACCCATTTCTGATGAGGGAAGAAACTTTAATAATAAAAAAATCCATGCTGAGGCCAATTTGAGTCTCTTTTATTGACATCAAAAGAACTGTGCTTTCTGAGAAACACGAACTGAGAAACGAGAACTTCTGAGTGTCTGGAAGAGAATTCTGAATGTTTTATATTCAGACTCCCATGTCTTGATCTCCCTTATAAATCTTCACCTAAAAAGTAGTTCTTCTAAGTCCAGAATGATTTATTTTTATACTACTTTTACCACTGATAATTTTAAAGTTTTGTGTTTCTAAGAATTTTGAAGTACTTTTATGAATCATACTTTTTCTGATTATTGTAAGTTAAGGTTTTTCTTACTCTGTAAAACTTAGGTCATTGCAAAAAAGAATCAGATAACAAAGGATGAAACGTAGTGTCTGTGAGCTGCAAGTTCCTCTCCTTGGGAGTTTCACTGAATAATCTGCCTCTAGTATGATGCATGATGTTGTCTTGGCAGTTTATTATTTTAAGGCAGTAGAACATAACACATGGAAAGGAGCTATCTTGATCTATTATATCAAGAATCCACAATTTATAGCTCTGTCTATTTGGTAGTAAAAAGACACTCCCTGAGAGCTAGAAGGCTGTGTATATCTGTAGTGATAAGAATGCAGTCCCTTAAAAATATCTTGATATCATTATATTTGTATGAAACCTGTCATTTGGGTGAAAATTCCTTTGTTTATAACTATAGTTTACATAAACATATGAAATATGTGTATTTGTTAACATACATGATTACATTTAATTTCCACAATAGCCCTGTAAATTATGTCAATTCCTGACTCACAGCCGAGGAGCCTGAAGTACCGGGGAAGTTAGCTAACTTGGCTGAAATCACAGAGCCAATGAGTGGCAGAAAAACTCAAATCCAGATCTTTTGATTAACTGTGCTGGCTTATTGTTTTATTTTGTTTTGCCTTTTCACAGTTGCTTCTCTGAGTATTTATAGTTTGGCGTAGGGCTAACACTATTAATAACTATTTGTAAAATAATTTTGAGAGATGTTTTATACCCAGTTTTAAGGCCATGGCTAAAGGCTAGTTAGCTCTTGTTTGAGAAGGCTGAATCCATACCCTAGCCATTTCTTTCCTGGAGCTCCCATGTGCTTAGGCTGCTATGCACCTGCCCTAATTACCCCAGGGCAAAATTCCAAACAACTAGGGCAGTTCTTCTGCTCTGGAGCCTGAGTCCCAGGAATTATTCAAATTAGCCGATCCACAGGAGGCCCTCTTAGGCTGCCTCTCACAGCTCCAGCTTGCTGTCATGCTTCCCCTGTCTAACTTCCTGTGTGGCCCTGCCTGGCAGCCTTCTCTCCTTAGGAGCTGTGAGTAATAAAGAGTTCTGCTTTTTATCTATCTGAGTTTCATCGTGTTGTGTCTTGCCCTCTGAAGAAACTTTGGAGTTTAAATTTGTCTCTAACCTTTTTAGTTGAACTGTGGTACAACTAGAAAAGCTTTCAGCAGGAAGACAAGTGACTGGGTTTCTTCTACAATGGGCTTGGCCTGGCCCTGTAGAGGTCGATTCAGCCTCTCTGAACCTCAGCTTCCTTACCTAGAAAATGAACACTAATCCTAAAAGCAATGGTTCCTGCTGGATTGGAATTCCATAATTTTGTGGTATAAATTGGTGGTGCCAAAGTACGAGAGTACTCAAGGACAAACTGAAAGAGGAGTATTCACCTGGAAGGCAGCGCCTGTGTTCTACAAATGGGAGTGTTTTAGTTTGGCTTGTCTGCATATAAATCATAATAACATGATAAAAGATATCATGAAGAAATTATTGTGTCAAAATGATTTTTTTAAAGCACATGCAACTAGGTCCTAGCTAATAAAACAATAAAGGTCAGTGGCTGCTTGGTAGCCTATTATTTTAGCAACAGAAGCTTGTATGTTGTAGGCATCCAAAAGCCTCTTTCCAGAATGTAAACTGTGAATTCTGAGATGGTTTGTTAAAGTTCCTTTGAGATTTTATTTTCTCATACTCTCTCTCTCTCATTTTTTTTTATGTAATTTTTTTTTTTTTTTTTTTTTTTTTGGTCAGAAACTTCAGAAGCTGCTGAAGCTGCAGTTTTTGGTGTCATTGACCTACTTTCCTCTTTGTTTGGTGGTTGATAAATCCTTGGGGAGAGGTGTCTACAACCCTGATTGAGAGCCAGAAAATAGAGTTTCTGTGAATGGCAGCCTCTAGACACTTGATTTTTCTGAAAGATAGGCTCTTGATCAGACTAGCCGGGGCTTAATGATTTATGCCTTTATGCCCATCTCCAGATAAAGTTAGACTACATCCTAAAGCATGCATAGGAGGAAAAGCTATTACTGCACTTTGCTTGTTGGTGATAAATTCTACTAAAAAAAGAAAGAAAAAGAGACACATTATTAAATATCTTTTATTGGAAATGGTTTCCAAATTTTGCAATCCAGGGATAATGATAATAGAATAGGGAGTTTTAAAACACTTAGGTGGGTCTCATTCTCTTCCCACCAGGCTTCCTTTTTATTTACTATTGAGGGCAGATATTTATGCAGTATCTGTATTTTAGGACCAGAATGGATGAATAATAGCATTGCTAAAGTTTGGGAGAAGCATATGATTTTTTTAAGCCCCCTATCACCCCTTATCTAAAGACAAATGATTGTATTTAATAACCTAAGTAAAAGATGAATTCAGGATTCCTCCTTGGGACTGGAAATAGAATTCAGAGTCTAGGTAATAACTTCCCAGCATTCTAGAGCACCTGGTGGATTCTGCTAGTTTTACAATTAGTCTTTGAATTGCAGATTCTATAAAATACTTTCTCCTCCATGTCTATACCAATTCTGCCTATCCTTTAAGGCTCAGTACAGGTGAAGAGCCAGCTCCTTCAATGGAACTTTCTCCAACAGAGCAGACCTTGATGCTCTACTTAGATGCCCTCAGCTCCCTTTACCACCTCTGTGTGTTTTCTTGGGTTCAGTGTGCTCTTCCCCCTGACCACAGACACCTGGAACTTTCTTTGAAGGACTTGCCCAGGCTACTGCAGCCACTTTATCTACACATCCAGAGCCCACAGAAAGCTGTAGTCCCTAACACCTTGCTTCCCTGAGAGGACCATGGCCAACGGGTGACTGGTGCAGAAGCTTGGAAGCTCATTTCCTTTGCCCCAGGACAGTCTCTGAGGTGTTAACTTATATTGCAAACATCCTAGGGAGGATCAGGCTGAAGCAATCTTCTGTGAGATGTTGAGATATTACCCTGGCTTGACTTCTTCCCTTAGCAGTTTATTTTAAGGGCACTTTCATAATGCAAATCCTATCTCAAGATCTGCTTCAGGGGAAATTGACCAAAAACACAACTTTTCTGGTGTATCATTTCTTTGAATTCTAAGAGCAATTGCTAGTTAGTTGAACGCTAGTAACGGGCTGTGCTGTATTGCTTGCTCTATTTTCTCTCTGAGATTTTTCATCTCTCTGATGTTGGCTGGAATCCTATCTAATGTTTACTGTCTTTACTTTGTTGTTTTATCTCTCATCTAATTTTAAAAAAAGTCTCTAAGAGCTTTGCAATAAATGAGTAAATAGGATAAAACCAAAGTCAGTGGATAGAAAATGAAGTATGAGAATAAAAAATAAAGGGAGTGGGGAAGTGGAAAAACCAACAATTTCAGACAGAGAAAGGCAAGTGAAATCAAGAATCGTATTTAGTTTGTACTTCCTAGCAGCTTGGACAAAGATGGAAACATAATTTCCTAGATAATTTTTAATGTTTAGTAGTACAAAGTTGTTTTAGTTATCTATTGCTGTGTAACAAATTACCCCCAAATTTAACAGCTTGAAACAAGAAACATTTATTATCTCTCACGGTTTCTGAGGGGCAGAAAACGGGGAGAAGCTTAGCTGGGTGGCTCTGGCTCGCTGTCTCTTACAAGGTAGCAGTCAAGCTGTTGGCAGCAGCTGCAGTCCCATCAAGGCTTGACTGGGGCTGGAGAATCCATTTCCAAGCTCGCTCATGTGGTTGTTGGCAGGCCTTAGTTCCTCGCTGGCTGATGTCCAGAGGCCTCCCTTCCCGCCACATGTGCCTCTCTACAGGATGCTGATCGTGCTGGTGACACAGCAGCTGCTTTCCCTGGAGTGGCTTATCTGAGAAAAAGAGAGAAAGCCGAGATGGAAGCTGCAGTCTTGTTATAGCCTACTCTGGGAAACGATAAACTCTGGCTTCTGCTGTGTGTTACACATCTCACGGATCAACCCCAATGCCACGTGGGAGAGGATGCCACACTGTGCAAATGCCAGGAAGTGGAAATCACTGGAGGCCATCCTGGAGGAGGACTACCACAGAAGTATATGGCATAGATTAATTTCTCCTGATACGATGAAGCTGATAAGAGTGAAAGAGATAATTCAAATGTATGCTCCATTTACTCATGTAAAGGGTTCTCAGCAAATATTTGTGGATATTCAACAATCAAATAGTCTTCCAAGTTGTTTTCTTCATAAAGAAGAGTAGGTCAACTGCAAGCATAAAGGACAAAATAAAATGTACAGGATACTGTAGTGGATGCTAACTTGGGTATTTTAAGTCAATGTTCTTTTTAAAAGTGTCATAGCTATGTCATCTCTATATTTCTAATGCTAACACTCTAAAGCAAGTGCTTAGATTTCTGCAGCAGCTTCTCAATGTACTTTCCCTTTGTCTAGATTCTCTTATGCTGTATCTCACTTTCATCATGTCGTTATTGTTTAATGACTCATCACTAATAGAATAAAATCCAATCACCTTGACTTTTCAAAAGCACAATTCATCTATTCAAGTCTCTATTTCATTGCTTCCATCCGGAGCCCTTTACTTTAACCTGGAAGTATTCTCACTGCTTCCCCAATGTCCATGCTAAGGTGTAACTTTTAACTTTCTCTCGTTGCTTGCATCCCCTTCTGGGAATTTCCTATTCTATTGTTTGGCATCTCCAAGTCCTTGTTCAATCAACCTTCCCAGTGTTTAGTTATCTTCAGCACGTCTGCCTTAGTACAAGACCTCAGTATTTCTTAGGTGGATTGTTATCTTAACGACTTTTTCAATTCCCAGGTTCCTTCTGCTTCAATCCATCCTCCCTATTTCTCCATTGTTTTTTTTTTTTTTTACATGTCACACTGATTGCATAATTTTATTTACAACAAAACACTTTGAGAGCTTGACACTTAGTAGGTCATCAGTAATTGTTAATTACATGAATAAAATGTCCAGGCAAATTCCCACTCTCATTTTCAGGAAGTCTTAACATAATTTCACATCTCACCTTCATCTTTTCCCCTTTGAAGTCCCGCAATACTTATTGTCTGCATCACTTACTTGGGTGTTCTATAATGTGCTTTCTCCTGTTATCACTTCACTCTTCTCTCCTCTTTCATTCATTCATATATTTGCTCATTCATTTATTCAACACCTTTCTTGATAGCCTACTCTATGCCACAGATTATGCTAGGTCTTGGGGGAATACAATGCAAGGCAAACACAGAAAAGACTTCTGCTTTCATGGCCTCTGGAGTCTACTTGTAAACAGAGACAATAATTAAATTATCACATCAAGAGAATGTAAGTGGGGGAGTGTATCCAGCTCCCAAAGCTCATAGGTTCTTGGCCTCTCTAACCCCGAAGAATGGGGAAAGGGGCCCTAGTGGCATGGTGAGTTTGCTGTTCAAATTAATATCATGGACCCAAAGACTTTTGTGGAAGAGTAATGTATTAGAGAGATGGAAAGAAGACAGCTCCCACATTGTTACGGGAGGGAACCCCAGAGAGGGAAATCCATTCAGGTAGGAGCAGCTGAGGTTTTAACCCTTGAGTTATTCCCTCCCCATTCATGTTCTTGTCCAACGAGAGGAGTTCTTTCAGACTTCCTCTGGAGTGATCTTTGACTCTGACACTGGAATGGCTGCTTATTCTGCAACCCTGAGTTACAGAGCCCCCTCCTCTCAGAGCTTTGGGCGGGAATTTGGGACAAAAGAGCCCCACTTTGCTTTTGCTACCTGGCCCATGTTTTGGAAAACCAGACAAAGAACTTAACATTTGAAACCTCTCTGGTCTCTGGATGGAGGCCTGGAGCCGGCAAATGACTGCATTTGAAACCCCTCCCCTAGCTGACCTGGGAAGATACTCCCTGAGACTGGGTAATATATAAAGAAAAAAATTTTAGTTGACTCAGAGTTCCATATGGCTGGGGAGGCCTCAGGAAATTTATAATAATGGCAGAAGGTGAGGAGGAAAAAAGGGACATCTTACATGGTGGCAGGAGAGAGAGAGAGAGACAAGAGAAGCACCACGCATGTATCAAACAACCAGATCTTATGAGAGCTCACTCACTATCACGAGAATAGCATGGGGGAATCACCCCATGATCCAATCCCCTCCCACCAGTCCCTCCCTCGACACGTGGGAGTTACAATTTGGATTACAATCCGAGATGATATTGGTATGGAGACACAGCCAACCATATCAGAGAGTAAAATTACAGATTGAGGAAAGTGCTATGGAGGAAGAGTACATGGCTGCGTGAAGGCCTGTAATAAAGGAACCAGTCCTAGACCTGGACTTCAGAGAGGCTCCTCTGAGGAAGTGCCCTTTGGACTGAAATCTGAACAATGAGTAGAAACCACATAGCAAAGAGGGCTATGAGGAAGGCGTGAGGGTAAATGAGAGCGTTTTAAGCATTGCAATGGCATGCACAATGACCCTGTGGTGGGAGAAATGTTTAAAAGAAGGTCAGAGTGATTAGACCCAGAAACAGAAAAAGGACACTAATGGAAACTTTGATGAAATCTGAATAAGGCACAGAGTTTAGTTACTAAGTAATGTACTAATGTTGGTTTCTAAGTTTTCACAAACATTTCACAGTAATGGAAGATGATAACATTAAGAGAAACTGAACCCAGGTGAGGGGTATACGGGAAATATTTATACAATTTTTCTGTACATCTAAAATTCTTCCAAATGTAAATTTATGTTTAAAAAATAAGGTCAGAATGAAAGAAACTCGCTGCATAAAAGAGGAATGGGACAAGATAAGGTTGAAGATTAAGACCAATCCAAGACTTCCAGAGGCTTTGAGCACTATCTTAAGAATGTTGACGTTTATCTTGAAGTAAGATGTGATGGTTATACATAGTGAATGACACAGCAGGAGCTGCATTTGAAAATATCACTAACCTGGGTGCAGTGTACAGAGTGGATTGCAGGGGTATGTGGATGGGTAAAGGAGGGCAGATCAGACACTCTCGCAGTTTCCAGTGTAGAAATGAGTTAAGGTGGGAACACACTCTCTTTAGCAAGATACATGTTTATAAACTGCATTTATCTTATATTTTATATTATTATTATTTTTTGAGATGGTGTCTCACTCTGTCACCCAGGCTAGAGTGCAGTGGCATGATCTCAGATGACTGCAACCTCCCCCTCCGGGGTTCAAGAGCTTCTTTGCCTCAGCCTCCCAAGTAGCTGGGATTACAGGTCTGCACCACTATGCCGGGCTAATTTTTGTATTTTAAGTAGACACAGGGTTTCACCATGTTGACCAGGCTGGTCTTGAACTCCTGACCTCAGCTGATCCACTAGCCTCGGCATCCCAAAGTGCTGGGATTACAGGTGTGAGCCACCTTGCCCCAGCCCATTTATCTTTCATTTTACTTATGTATCTATCATGAAAGTATTTCCATAATGTCTACATAATACATATTCTTTGAATAAATAAATGAATAGATAAATAGATGAATTAATTAAAAAAGAGTTAGATCAGGCTAAGCAGCTCCTGAAGACAGCAGCCCTTTGGCAGTATTAAAGTGGCTCTGTCCCAAACTCTAGAAGCAGCACTGGTGATTTCAAACAGAAATCAGACTATTTCAGTTTTTTTCTTTGCTTCCAAGGACCCCTTTTCCAGAAATGAGTGATCCTTTGTCTTATTTTTGGAATGCCCAGTATTTGCACAAAGGTTCAGGGAGGAGCACTGGGTGGAAAACAGAGGCTGAAAAGACATTTTGAAAGACAATTTGAAAGTGTTCAATACCTGGAAATGTGAGAAGCAAGTTAAAGTGCAGTGAGCCATCTGCATCATGTCGTCTTCTTTGGAGCAAATTCATTCTGCATATTATTTGCATTTTGCCCTTTTGGCAATAGCAGTAATCTTAGCTTTTTTAGAAGCATCTGTAATTAGAGGTTCTTCACCTCCTGGGGGAAAGTGTTCTAATTTCTCGATGGATAAAGGAAGCCTGGGGAAAGGCTGCAGAGTTAAGGATGAGGAAGGGGCAGTACCAAGAGTTCTGCTTGTTTAGTTCAGCTGAGTGCCAGTGGTTTAGGCAGTAGCAGGTCTGTGTTTTCTGCAAGCCTTTCTCATTTGAAAAGACAAAGCTGGCTTTTAAGAATCGTCTCTTGGGCTAATTAGTGTGAAGATCATCAGGTGGAGACTGCTGGGTTACTTTCAACTTAAAGGATGAAGAAAATACCAATGATTAACATTCCAAGATTATTTTAGCCAGGTGACCCTGAGATCCCAGTTTCTCTCTGAGAATCTTTGTTCTAATATTTGTGCACAGTGTTTAGACAGGGCGATCACCACCCATGCTTGTTTTCTAACACATGACCAATTTTAGCCAATGGAGTTTATATCATGGATCTCAGAGGTTAATCTTTTCCCTTTCTTGTCTCCTCTGCTTCCCAGACATGCATTCATTTGACTGGCAGCCTGGAAAATTGAAAAATGCCACAGAGGTTATTAAGGTGGAAATCGTTTCTGCTCTTTGAGGCTCTGCAAGCTAGTTATTGCTGCACCTATAATATCCAGGATCAGAATAGTACGCATTGTTCTTAACTTGCCTGACACAGGCCTGTATCACTTGTAACACCCAGATAGAATGAAGGGGTCTCAAAATATCATTTCTCCACTCGAAATATATCCCTTTAGTCGATTAAAACAGAGTCCCTGAAGTTATTAGAATGTATTCTGTGTCTTTGTGCATACACGTTTGATTTACTTTTGTTCTTATTAAAAGGATAAGCCTAGAGAAAAGGAGAGAAGAGAATCTTCCAAATCCTTATTTTAATAATTGCCTGAGTGCACATGTACTCTACAGAGACTTTTGTGTTTCTCTATTTACTTGGCTCTTTTATGCAATGTGTGTGACTTACCTGGTCTGGTAGACCATGACCCAGCTTCTGGCCTATCATGTAATCTTGCATTTGGCTCCCTCTGAGCCACGATGGCATGTTGAGTCTGGCTGTAGGATGGGGATATGATTTTAATGAATCGTTTTTTGCAATAAATGGCTCCATATTTTATAAATTGTAATGCACTGTTATGATGTTAATATATAAATATTAAAACCATTGGGAAAAAGTTACTGTGTAACTGAGATAGCCTATTTTCCAATGTTAATAAGTTCTTCATTAATTTTTTTCTCCATAAAAATATTGAGGGAGTTTAATTCACATTAAAAACTTATATATTTTAAAAAATGAAATTACTTTACGTCCCAACTCAACAACAGAAAACAATGCCACTCCTCAACTAGAAAACCTCTATGCATCATTTAAACAAGGCATAGAGAAGAGAAAAACACCCCAATGCCAAAGTACCCATAGTAACAACAACAACAAAAACTTCAGAGACGTTTTTCAGGAGAGAGAATTATTTGTTTCTATTTAGCTTTAGGGCAATGATCTTTTTAACCATGCTGCCGCAGGCCAAAGATTCAGTATTAGCGTGAATGCCTACTTTTGATAAAGAATAAGGGAATAGAATATAATCTACAATAACACAAATCCCTGATCATAAAAGTGAACTTACATTCCTGTCCTGCTTCAAAACTCCCAGGCATGTTGTTGGCCTCCTGTATTGCTATATCAATCAGGGTCCCAGCAGGAAACAGAATTCATTCCGGATGGTTCAGATAAGACTTTAATAAAAGGAGTTATAGGGACGTGGGTTGGAATCAAACAGAGGATGGTGGAGTGCTCTACCCAGGGACTGAAAGCAGGCAGCCGTTACGTCACTTAGGACTAGGGCTGAGCAGAGGAAATAGTGTACTGGAACCTAGTGCACCCTGAGACTGCAGGGAATGTGGCTGTCTTAGTGGGTGGACATAGTTACTGCCAGAGATGTGATTTGAAAACAGAATGAGTGGGGATGAAATACCCTGTCACTGCTCCTCCTGTCATCCATCCCTCACTGGTGCCTCTGTTGGCCAACCCCACCCAGAAGGCGGTCTATGAGGGAGTCCATAAAGTATAGTTTTTAGTGGGCACTTCCTGAGATGAAATGGGGAAGGGGATGAAAAATGAAAAATATCCAGAACAGTTGGTTTTCAGATCACTAAAGAGTTAGCATTATTGGTGTCTAAAGAATGAAATTACTATCATGGGATTATATTTTTGAACCCCTCATGAGAAAGAAGCTAGAAGTTCTATATTTTATTTTATAGAAGAGGGGGATTTAAAAATGACTATTAGCAGGGTTTTCTTTTTGCTGGGCAAAAATGTTCAAAACTTTACCTAATAGTCTAATATTCCTGTAGGAAATTACGGTCTCCATAGGCCTTTCCACTGATAATATCTCATTGAACCCCAACTGAAGCCCCAAGAGGGAGGTATTATCTTACTCACTTTATGGATGAGGAGCCTGAGGGTCAGAGCCTCAAACAACTTTCTCACTGTCCGTAGTTAGATCTAAGCAGTATGAATATGCAAACTTAGGTCTGACTTGAGACCTCAGGTTCTTTATATCACACCACTATGCCATTTTCAAAATAATAACGTCACACACTTTTGATAGCGCATATGCTGAAAGAGGAACAGAACTGTCTGTACTCTACAGACAATTGCATTTGCAGGGAAACTAGAGTCTCTGTGTCAGGTAAGCTCAGTAAAGAAGCAAAGAACAGTCCAAAGCATCAAGTAGTTCAGTGTAATGAAATGATTCAGGAAGCGAGGCAAAGAAAACATTTGGGAGCAGAGACTGCAAAGGTACTCCCAGGAAACCGTAACAAGCAGGGAGGATCCTTTTATGAGGGGTGTACATGCCTGAGAATGGTTGGGAAGAGACTATTAAGACTGTAAAGCGAGGTTTCTCAAGAGTTAAGGAGAAGACTACAATATTTTTCAAAGTATTGTTCATGGACCACTTGCTTCAGAATCACCTAGGTTACTTATTTCAAAGGTCAATCCTGGATCCCACTCTGACTCACAGAGTCGGCATCTGTATGAGGAGAACTCTGCAGTTTGGCATTTTGACATGTTCTCTCCATTAGCCCCTGCTCTCCCCACCACACACACACATACACAAAGGTTGAGAACTGCTGACAGCGCATTTGGGCAGCTTGACTTAAAAGAGGTCTGCAACAGAACAATAAATATTTGGTTACAGCTCAGTTTTCTGGCATGGTTGAACATAAGCCATCTGACTACCCGTCGATCATCCCAACTTCTGTTTGTTTGCTTCAATCATAGTTTTTGAATAATCTTTTGAAAATATATTTTCTAATTTTATGCTTTAATAAACAGGGTATATTAAACACAAATTGACTTTTCAGATTCTTATAGTGACTTGAGTTAAATATTTTAAACATCAATTTTGGTAAACATTAAAGATGCGAATGTAGTAAGTTGGGGAATTGGGTTAAACTGTGCAGATGCTATGATTGCTTTTCAAAAAGAATCCCTAATATCAGACTGTTTTCTTATTATTTAATCTCATTTTCATAAAAGAAGTGTGAAGAATGGGCAACTGCAATACCTCAAAGGGGAGATAATATGGCTGCCTTTACTTTTTTTTGCAAAATTAAAGACAACAGATGCAGTCATCTGCAAGATGTTTTCCAAACAACCCGAAGAGCTGCTTTTCTGATTTTGTCATCATCCCTTTGCAGCATTCAAAACATTATGTATTGTTGCAGCATCAAAAACACAGTATCTCAGTTCGCCTTCCTTTGTTTGCTTTAAGACCCTTCCAATGTCAGATATTTGGGGTCAGAGTGTTTATGGTACGGAACAGAATGTTGATTATCATTGTTTTAACCAAAGGTCCAGTTGGTCATTTGGAACATTATTTTGTAGAGGGTGGATGTGCTACCTTTACTAGTGTAACTTTTTGTTTTTCAGTTGAAACCCTATAATCTGAGTCATTGTTCAAACAATCAGTACTTCAAATACTGTTCATGAACAGTTTTCAAACAGTAACCGAGGCGTCTGTAATTGAACTGAGAATTTGATTTGCCTTGCTGATTTGTAGAGAGGTGCAGATACTTTGTGATGAGTAGTCAGTCTAAGTTTCAGTCAATGGTAGAATTTTTCTTTGTTTATTGTGATTCAGAATGGCAAACATATTGTTTGTTTCCTTAAATCTTCATTTAAGGAGTTATTGATTAACCACAAAACAATGCATATTGGTTGATTTCTTCCCCCACCTTAATAAGTTACCTTTTGGCTTAGTCTATGCGCTTTGAGTTATTTTCCAGTAATGGCCATGAGTTTGAGTTGACTTATTTACACTAGGGAGTAGTTTCTGTTGGATCAACATCTGCAGTTTTGATCTGATTGACCTGAGTTGAAGCTACAACCTATAGTCATGAAACGAACCAAAATAAACAGCTTATTTTAGAATTAACTCAAGAGTATGACCTCACTTGGAACATGCTGTATACCAGAGTTCACTGATACTAACCTAATGGCTATTTTAAAAATTAAAGTCCTTATCTTTGGGGGAGCTTTTCCAGAAGACCCAGCAATTACTTTTTCAAATATCCATTATTTCTTCAGGGACATATTTTATAAGAAACAGAAGAAAATATAAGCATTAGATATTTTGGTGTATATAAATTACTATAGCAGTCTCTGAAGTATTTTCCCGTAAGTTCTTATCAAAGCAATTTAAGGCAAACAGTTGGAAAGTGAGAATTAAATGTGATCATCTTTCTTAGAGAAGTGTGTTCACAATGCCAAATAATCAATTTTATTGAATTTCCCTCACCCCCCCGCCCCGCCCCAGAACTGACCAGTTGTTTTGTTTTCTAACAGTGTCACCCAGATCTATTCCAGAAAACTCTTCCTTTTTTTGTTTTTGTTTTTTTTTTTTTTTGACATGGAATCTCACTCTATTGCCCAGGCTGGAGTGTAATGGCACGATCTTGGCTCACTGCAACCTCCGCCTCCCGGGTTCAAGTGATTCTCCTGCCTCAGCCTCCTGAGTAGCTGGAATTACAGGCACACACCATCATGCCTAGCTAATTTTTGTATTTTTGTAGAGGCAGGGTTTTACCATGTTGGCCACGCTGGTCTCAAAATCCTGATCCTACCACCTTGGCCCAAAATGCTGGGATTACAGGCTTGAGCCACTGCCCCCTGGCACAGAGAGTTCTTTCTGAACTGAGCTCTTTCTTTCCTTCCGAACTAGCCCATTATATTTAAGAAAGCAACTTTTATAAGACCTGACTTTGACTTAGGTATTATTTCTTCTTGGACTGGTGTAAAAAAAATCCATCAGCTTTATTTTTAAGGTTTAATTACATATATACATGAGTGTATGTCACTGCTCATACCTAATTTTCTTTGCCTTCTGTTATGCTATGACTAGAAAGCAGATATTTATTATAAATTATATTTCTTTTAATATATGACTAAGTAAATATATGGGATTGAATTATTTCTTTTTTGAACTTCTGCCTAAAACATTAAACTATACTAATATCAACTCTGCAGAATCTGTTTAAAAATAGGAGCAACTGGGGTGCAGTATTTCATGACTGAATGCTAAAGCTTTCATTTCGAAAGGAAGCTGGGAGGTCGGAACAACTGAAAGACTCCAAATGCATCATGTCTAAAAAAGCCAAAAGACAAGCACAAGCTATAAAAATTTCATGTCATATGCATTTCTTCATTCTATCTATACAGTAAAAGTACTGTAAAGCTTTTGCTTTCTTTCAAAACTCTTGGCTGGACATTTGTTCTCAAATTATTAATTTTTTTAATTGCATAGAGAGTGTATATTCTTAATTTGGTCATACTGAGGTAGGACACAGGACTCGATGCTGGAGGCGGGGCTTGGACACTGGACCAAATCGAAAACAAGCTGAAACCAGGGCTGGAGTGGAGGCAGCTTTCCATAAGACACAGCCATTGTTATGCCATGTCAGTTTACTATTGCCAGTGGAACACCCAGAAGTTATAGCCCCTTTCCATGGCAAAAACCTAACAACCTAGAAGTTACCCTGCTTTTCCTAGCTAGAAATTTCTGTATAATCTACCCTTTAATTTGCATGTCATTACAAGTAGGTATAAATATGACTGTAGAACTGCCTCTGAGCTGCCACTCTGGGCACACTGTCTGTGGGGTAGCCCTGCTCTGCTGCTGCTGGACATTGCTGCTTCAATCTAGAGGCCGGGCATGGTGGCTCATGCCTGTAATCCCAGCACTTTGGGAGGCCGAGGCAGGTAGATCACAAGGCCGGAAGTTCAAGACTAACCTGGCCAACATGGCAAAACCTTGTCTGTACTAAAAATACAGAAATTAGCTGGGCGTGGTGGTGAGCACCTGTAATCCCAACTACCAGGAAGGCTGAGGCAGGAGTATCACTGGAACCTGGGAGGCAGAGGTTGCAGTGAGATGAGATCATGTCATTGCACTCTAGCCTGGGCAACAAGAGCAAGACACCATCTCAAAAAAAAAAAAAAAAAAAAAAAATAGTTGCTGTCTAACACCTCCCACTCGCCCTTGAATTCTTTCCTGGGTGAAGCCAAGAACCAACTATCCTGGGCTGAGCCCCAGTTTTGGAGCTTACCTATCCTACATCCATGCCCTGAATTTAAGTAAAATTACAGTCCAAGTTATCTTGCTCCCAAAGTTATCTTTACTTGCACTATTGCAGAACAGAACAACCATAAAGAACTGCTGATTTCCATCCCCTTAGTTGACAGTCATTGCTATTTTTCTTCTGTTTACCATTTGAAATTTTGGCATTATTCCCTCTGT